GCATTCCCCTGGTTGGATTCCACAGCTTTCATGGGCACATGCTTCGCTGGGTAAAAAAACAGTCTGGATGGCCGGGCCCAGAGAGTTGTGGTGAACGGAGTTAAATCCAGTTGGCGGCTGGTCACGAGTGGTGTCCCCCAGGGCTCAGTGTTGGGGCCACTCCTGTTTAACATCTTTATTGATGATCTAGCCGGGGGAATCAAATGCACCCTCAGTCAGTTTGCAGATGACAGACACAGAGTTGGGTGGGAGTGTTGATCTGCTCGAGGGTGGGGAGGCTCTGCAGAGAGACCTGGACAGGATGGAGCCATGGGCTGAGGCCAACAGGAGGAGTTTCAATAAGGCCAAATGCTGGGAGCTGCACTTGGGCCACAACAACCGCCAGCAGCACTACAGGGTTGAGGAGGAGTGGCTGGAGAGCTGCCAGTCAGAGAGGGACCTGGGTGGGTTGATTGACAGCCGGCTGAACAGGAGCCAGCAGTGTGCCCAGGTGGCCAAGAAGGCCAATGGCATCCTGGCTTGTGTCAGAAATAGAATGGCCAGCAGGGACAGGGAAGGGATCTTACCCCTGCACTCGGCACTGGTGAGGCTGCACCTTGATTACTGGGTTCAGTTTTGGGCCCTTCACCCCAAAAAGGACATTGAATTACTTGAGTGTGCCCAGAGAAGGGCAATGAAGACAGTGCAGGGTCTGGGAGCACAGGTCATACGAGGAGCAGCTGAGGGAACTGGGGGGGTTTAGTCTGGAGAAGAGGAGGATGAGGGGAGACCTCATCGCCCTCTACAGCTACCTGAAAGGAGGGTGCAGAGAGCTGGGGATGAGCCTCTTTAACCAAGTAACAAGCGATAGGACAAGGGATAAGGGCCTCAAGTTGCACCAAGAAAGGTTTAGACTAGATATTAGGAAGTATTTCTTTCCAGAAGGGGTTGTTGGGTGTTGGAATGGGCTGCCCAGGGCAGTGGTGGAGTCCCCATCCCTGGAGGGTTTTAAGAGTCGGGTTGACCCAGTGCTGAGGGATCTGGTGGAGTTGGGAACTGTCAATGTTGGGTTAATGGTTGGACTGGATGATCTTCAAGGTCTTTTCCAACCTAGACGATTCTGTGATTCTGTGAATAACCCCTAGCCTTCACTGTAAAGCACCCATGGCTTGGAGAACAGTCAGATTCTATATTCTATACAGTCACAGGCAGTACTAGGTTTTTAGCAGACTAGCCATCCATAATCATGGCACTCGGCAGTATCATCATAACTAATTCTGAAAATTTGCAAAAAACTGACCAGAAGTCCCTAGAAGTCTATTCCTCACTCATTTGCATGCTCCAGCCTCAAATCTGTGACCACTTACTGGCACAGGAACCCTCCTATTCACCAGCACCTCACTTCTCCAGTATTACTGGCTTAGCTAATATTACCACCAAACCCACAGCCATAGGGAACAAATACAGCCACCTCTGCCCCTCACAGCATCCTGTAGGGTCTAGCAGCTGTAATGGACACAGCAATACCAACCTCCCCATGAGAGAGCCAATACTTTCTGCTTGAACAGTCTAACTGCACAATTTAGGACAGGTCTAGAAACCCTTATCACTGGCTCCTACACCCTCTGCATCTTCCTAGTAACAATGTAAAACTCCACCCACATTTTGGCCATCTCAGATTCTCATATACCAGAATCTCATCTCCCTCCTTGTTCTTGACAGCTTCTTCTTTATTCCAAAGTGGGAATTAATTGATGAATAACCTCCTACAGCTATAGTTTTAACTCAAACATTAAAATATGACAGTAAAACACGAGCTAAAGCCTCCATAAAAACTGAGAGGCTTTTAAACAATAAAAACTACCAACTTTTGCATCCAAACACTAAATCCTCAGTCCAATCACTTTTAAAAGAAGACGCTCAGAACCATGAATCTTGATACAACTCAAAGTATCCTGAGCACATGACACTGCAGGAAGATCTCTGAGGCTCAGCCAGTCTTCTGAATATTACCACTTACTGCTTATACATGTGGAAATTAAGGACTACACTTTAAAAAAAAAGCTAAAAAAATATTTTTTTTTGCTTTTTTAACACTCATCCATCTTAGACTGGTAACAGTCAGAATGTCCCAGAACCACTGAGAACCAGCACAACCTGTCTTATCACCAAGGTTTCAGATGTGACAAATCCATAACGCTCCAGAGGGACAGTGGCTGGAGGGCAGTGGAATGAACAGAACCCTAGAAACCTTGCCATGGTTCAAAAGAGAAGTTGAAGGTAAAATGAAAGCAATCCTTCCTAGCTGCTGAAACGTTGGAAAATAAACTATAAATTAAAAGAAGAAAAAAAAAATCAAAAGGAGCCTTTGTTCTTCCTCAGAGCCATTTGAGGATCCCCTATTGAAACATATAGAGAAGCTCATTTCCCAATTCCAAACCAAACAAAACCACTCCTGTCCTGTCACACAGTCTGTTCTATAAAAATTTATAAAATTCCGACGTTGTTTGAAGATGTTTCATACATGCACTTCTTTAATAGTTAAATTTCCTCACTGTGAAGTTCCAAAATTTTCCTAATTCTGAATTTAAGACCTACCAACTTAGTAATTATAAGCCACTTCATCTTACACCTCTTTTGGCCACTATCCTGAACAGAAACAAGAGCAATTTAAGTAACCACTTCTCTGCAAAACTGACTTTAATGGGCAATCAGCATAAATTTAGAAAAATCAATAATCTTCCTAAAGTACATAGATATTGAGTAATTCTGGGAATTATTATGGACTGATTAAAACAAGCAAACAAACAAACAACAAGACAATAATATCTTTACCAATCTTAATAAACACATTTTGAGAGATAACAAGGTCTGGAAAGGTGAAAACCCACCTCTTCTATCTGATAAACACATGTGATGTATTCACACTGGCAAGATACAGTGTCCTGATTACTACTCACCTGCTACATGACCTTTGCTGAACCAGTTTGCTCCCCATCCTGCCTGTCTGACACCATCAGGTTTATAATCTGCAGCTGATGACCTGCAAGAAAATTCAGATTTAAGAAAAATTCCCCACAGCTCCTACCATGGCTTTGCTTGGCGCAGGCACCACTAGAATGCCCCATTAGTCTTCCTGTAGAAGCTCATCTGTGCGCTCCCTTGCTGTAGTGCAGGGCTAGATGACCTTCTTTTACTAGAATATCCTAAAACGCAGTTAAACATAGCTCCACAAGACAAGGAGGTGTGTGCTCCTCCCACAACGGGCCAACAACTTCAAAGAGATTTAAACGATAAGCTCACAGGGCGGGGATTGTTCAAGGTAGTTCCCAGCACATCCTGTGAGGGCTTTGGGAACAAATGGCAATAGCCAGAACCAAGCCGTTCATGAGTTATTTTAAGTACTCCGGTTTCAGCTGCTCCACCTCAAAGAATTCAGGCCTTATAACTCACAGGGTGTACAGGCATAAACAACAGCCACCCGAGAAGTGCTTTGAGAAACCTGTCCCTGCCCCAGGCAGTGCCCTCCCAAGGGCTGCACCCCCAAGCGGCTGCTCCTCTCTCCTGCCAAGCTCCCACACCACACCCCCTCAGCCCACAGGAACCCAGAAAAACATAACCCCGGCAACCTGAAGCTCCCACCGGCACCAAACCCCAGGCTGCTCCATGGCAATCTCCTCAGCCTCACCTCAGCGCACCCCAAACGGCCGCCCTGCCACTGCCATAGGATGAAGGGATACCCTGCGCTGCCCACCCGCTCCCGGTGCCCACCCTGGGCAGTCGCAGCCCGCGGGTACCGCTCAGCCCGGCCTCGAAGCCGGTATCGCCCAAGAACAAAGGCAGAGCCGTCCCCGCTGTGCGCCTCAACGCGGCTCAGCCGCAGGTGTGAGAATCTGCCCCTTTAGAAGATGGCGCCCGCAGGCAACCGCTAGGCAGCGCACGAGGACGTTTTTCCCTTAACAAAGATGGCGGCCAAAGGAGGCGGGGCAAGGCGCCGCGCGCCGGCGTTCCACCGCCTCCCCGAATCAGCGGCCGCCAACTCTCCCGTGGAGGCCGCAGGACGGCCAATGGGAGGAGGCAGCGTGGAAGCCGGGCGGGGAGCGGGCCAATGGGGCGGCAGCGGCGGGGGGAGCTG